TTCTTTCTATACCCTTGTCATAAATTGGTTTGAAGCAGATGTGTTTATTAATTGGGTCTAATAATGATTGTAATTTATTGTGTCTCTACTGCCTTTGAGTTTATTCACTCTAAAGTCCTTGTTTTATGGAGTGCTCCCCTTGAAGGGTAGGCTTGATGGTACTCTGCCTTACAAATAACTGATATTCTGAAGTCTGTCAGTTCCAGTTCGGGACCACTAACATCTGATAGTAAGGATCAGCTGAATTGGGTCCAACAGTTTTCAGTACTGAAGTACAGTAAATTTGCTGTTTATTCCATAGGAGTTTGAGCAGTCATTGGTATGATATACAAGAGCTTTTAGACTTCTGAGTTTTCACTAGAACTGTGGATAATGTTATTTTCAAGAGCAACAAAAAGCCTGGTTGGCTCAGATGACATTCTTTGAATAGCATTCATGCAATAGCAGCTTATGCATATTTGTTTGACAGTTGATGATATTTTAGGGTTGTAACAAAATAGCTCTTCTTAAATACATCCTTTTAGAAAAATGGCTGTATTGTGCTCACAACCTCAGCCTGAAAGCTTTTATTATTGTTAAGTTCTTACACAACTAATGATTAGTAGGAATACTTCTGCAACTTTGCTTTTACCTTATTGTCAGTGATGATACTTGATTTGAAACATGAATGTTCTCAGCTTAGTTGCATCCTTGTTCCTTTCATCCTCTCCGCTGCAGTCTTTGGTGAGTGTGTTGGTTTCCACCTATTCCCTGAATTGTTCATAAATATACCATTTTCTGCACCCAGATGTTTATGTGCTAAAACAGATTGTGGGGTTTTACCATTTCCTTGGGTAACACTATGACATCTGCATTTAGTTTTTTGCTGCTGCTGTTTGTTTTTAAGTGTGTGCTGCCATCTATGGAGTAATCATTGAAATAAAGCTGATCTGAAATTGCTTTTTATCAGAAGACTGCAGAAAACAAGATCTAGCTAGCGGAGGAGGTTTCATAGAGCAGAAAACCCTGTTCCTCTGTAGTCCCAGATCTCACAGCAAGCACAGGTGAAAATCAGCTTCTGGGAGTTAAGTTTTCAGTGATTCTGTATATGCTGGAAAAAAACTGCAAGGACAGCCTGAAAATTAGAATAAGGTTGCTTTGTCTTTTAATCCTGTAACTCGTTCCTTTTCCTCCTCAGTTACAGTCCTTCAGCAGTTTCCAAGATGCTTATTATATCTTTCTTCATTTGTTTTTTAAGGCTTAATTTTAATTCCTTATTCTTTCCTAGCATCTTGTCCACTGGCTTTGTGCTTCTCTTTTGTGTCAATTCCAGCCTGCCAGGTTCCAGGTTTCCCTCCTTCACATCCCTTCAGAATGCAGTTCTGAAGATCAGTCATCATTCTCTCTGTCTTTCATAACATGTGGTAGCTTTGTATCTATTTTTGAGTATACATTTATTGTAATACATTTATTCAAGTGGGCCTGGAAAGTACTTGGAGAAGTCATTTTCTCTGTACTGGGGTATCTGTGCATGCAAAAAGCTATCGGGTTTTATCTTGATACTGCTCATATGCTTTTCAGCTTGCAGAATTGACTGAGGATTCTAGTGTCTTATAGCCTTGAACAGGGTTAAATGTATTAATTCCTAGAATCAGACTTCCTTTCAGTTAGGAGGTGTGACACAGAACAACTATGTCTTTAGGTGCTTCCTCAGCAAAAGGAATGTTGGAGTGGGTGTATATTTAACCACTATTTCTTAAATACTTTCTTCTAACACAAGGTATTAGAATCAAAAGGAAAAGTTTAACCTATATGGATGAAGCGTTCTTAAAAATACCTTCTGACATTTTCTTCTTATTGCTGAACTTAGAAATTGATCTTATTTTCCAGCATCAGAGACAAAATGAAGAGAAAGAAATCAATGTTCTTCAAAACAGACTTAATAAGATAAAAATCAATGCAGCTGTATGATTTGCCATTTTTTTAGGACTGGTATCATTCAAACATGATAATATTTGATTCCTAAGTTAAATGTGAAAATATTTCAGTTACCACCTACAGAGGCAGAAAAAACCTTAAGAAGGAGGGATTTATTTAGTTAAACTTTGGTTTTTGTTTTAATCCTAATTTTGGAACTTGGAGTTCTGCAGAAACTGAAAACAGTTTCATATTTTAAGTGCCAGTATATAATTGTTCCTTTAATCACAGAGGCTTAAATGGAACAAATTATTACTTGTATTTGCAAATTACAAGCTCTGATCCTCCCTTCCTCCTGCAAATAGCAGTTCCGTCTTGCTCAGTTGAAAGATCTGTACTCAAAAGTTTGAAGATCAGCTTGGGCTCCTCATTTCCCCCATGGCAGACTCACAGTGCTTTGAAAGTAAAGCCTTACTTAGCAAATGCGTTGGCTGATTACTCTTTTTTGGCAAAACCAGAATGGGTTAGTTGGGGTTTTTGGTTGGTTGGTTGCGGTTTTTTGCCAGTGTTCATTCCCCTTTTCTGCCCCCACCATCCTTAATAACATTAAGATCCGTTATTGATTTATTTAAGGAAAAGTCTTTAAGTGCCTTGTGTACTATCAGTGACCCAGTCTCTAAACCACAAGCTTGGCTTAACAGTTGAGAGTGGGTTTTAACAAATAATTGGCATTTTAATATTTAAATTCCTGTTTACTTACTGCCTTGGGTTTAGCCCTTTGGGCTTCTGGTTTGAAATTTCTTAACTGAGGGCTAGAAAACATCTTTTTAGGGAAGAAGGTCAGGATTCTCACATAATTACTGGCATGTGTGAACTGGGACTTCAGGGAAGCATTAGACATTGAAAAAGTTGTGATAAAATCCTCCATATTAGCAGGCATCTGGTAATGGCATCTTTTGGTTTAGAGGTTTATTTCATGAGCACAGAAAGACAGCTTTCTGCATAAATTTCTGCTGAATTAAATTCCAATCTGTAAACTGGGCTGGAATGTCATAAGATGGGAAATGCAAACCCAGTGGTAGGTTTTGAATTTATATGTCCAAAAATGGACAGGTTTTGTGTATATAGGTCTTAATCAGGTTCTCTTTCTGGCCAGTTACTTCTTTTTCAGATTCCTTTACTAATTGATAAAAGTAGTGAGTTTGTTTCTCTCCTCCAGCAGCTCTGAGCAGCAGTGTGTATATCCATTGGGAACAGGCAGTCCCACCCCTTCATTCTCTTCATCATCATCTTCATTATAGACCATATCTGCAATCACATAACAAGAGACCTTGCACCTCTACCTCTCCTTTCATCCTCCCTCTGTACTGCGAGAGAGAAGTAGCATGCCTTATTGCACAGCTGAAAGGTTATCAAGCCTGAATTTGTTACACCTCTGGATCTGGCAGGCAAGTGTTCACAACCACTTTAGAAATACATGGCTCATCTCCACATGAACCTGGACATCCTGAGAAGGTACTTGATATTGGATTGGTTTTCTTGTTGCTCTGCAGACAGACAGGCTTAAGCTATGCAGTCTGATACTCCCTAATTTACAGCTTTTCCAAGGTTCATTTGTTAACTGAGAGCATGACATGTATTGAAGTTGTTTCTTCATAATGCATTTGGCATTAACAGGAGAAGCTGTCGAATCCTCAGACAGCAACAGCTCAGCAATAAAATATTTTGCCTCCAGTTTTGACTTTCTAACTAGTGACTTCATATTTGCAAGGGCATTTGGAATGAACGTATGAGAGAACAGGGTGAATAAAAAAAGCTTAAATACATTTTCCAGACTAAAACTGTGAAGCAGTATTTTTGCTGCTTGGGACATTTACCTGAGTTATATAGTTTAACTGTTCTTCATTCTTTTGCTATGAAACCCAGGCATCCTGCTTAACAAACTACTCACGAAATAGTCATTATGTTTCAGAGACTTCTTTTATTTTGGTAGATGATTAACTGGGTACATCTGATTTTATTTATAGTGGTGCAGAATTTGTGTGTAAAAGACATGCTTAAGGGTTTGACTTGCCTGTGAATTCAGAAGAGAATAAAATGAAACCCCAACAAAACTTCCGTTCAAAGAAACATTCCTCCAGGTGAAGCCCATGTTTGTTGGAAAGAAATTACCCATGTAGAAAAGACCAGAGGATGATTTCTTCACCGATCTTGTCACTGTTTTGCCTTTGCTGTTTTCCTGTAGCTACTTTTCATAAAACACTTTCTTAGAACACAAATTGTGCCAGATCTATATCATTCAGCTTCTTTTCCCCCTTTTTATTCTGTAAAAGATTTTCACTCTGTTCTTCCTTGCAATTGTTCCTATGCTGGTACCTGGCAAGATGTTCACACAGGGTCTGTAAGTACTGATTAAGAGCTTGGTCACAAATCCGTCATCATGAAGAGCTGCAGCTTCTCCTCCACCTCATGAACTCGATAGTTAGAAGATAAATTTAGCTTGCATGTACAAAAAAATGTGTTGTAATTTTACTTTATTGTTCTTGCGTAGTGTAATCATGTTCCTTTAAATATTTAGGTCAATTTTTCTAGCACCTGGTTAAGTTTCTGCATGTATTCTTCCTTCTGGGAAGAGTATATGCCTGGAGAAACACATGAATTTTTACAGATGCTGTCAAAACAATGAAGGAGTTTCAGTGGTGCTTCGACTAGCATTATTTAGGAAGTGAAGCAGCTGTTTAGATGAGGGGAAAAAATGAATGACTGGGTTAGGATGCCTTCATTTCACAGGGACAAAGAGCCTAGCTTTGACAGAAGCGCCTCTTTCAAAAAAGCCAGGGAAGAATGAGCAAAGCCAGATTCTGATTAGAAAAGCCTAGACAAACTTTTTGAAAGCCCTGAGGTCTGCAGCCTAAGCACACGTGTCTCCTCCCTCAGTAAACATCAGTGACCTGTATTCCTGCAGCCAAGTATTTCCGAACCTTTGTGGGATATTCTGGACCTGTCTCCATCCAAGTGTTTTCTAGTTCGCTTGCAAGGTCTGTTGGCAAATGCAGTTTGGGTCCCTAATGAGCACTGACTCCAGAGGCCCTTCTGTCTTTCAGGGCAAGCACAAGCTGCATGTGGACACGGGACTGGAAGGCGACTGGTGTGGCCTCATCCCCATTGGGAACCCCTGCGAGAGTGTGACCACGACAGGCCTCAAGTGGAACCTCAGTAAGTCAGACACCTCAGGGATGGGGGGTTTGATGTTAACCTAAAGGCATGTTTACATGAGCCTCACCAGTGCTGAAGGGCCTGATGTGTTTGAAGGTGGAACATGGCATTGTATCCCTGCCAGGCCAATTTTTATCTAGAAATGAAGGGGGGTTTGGAAAAAATAGAAAAGAAATACATTTTTACCTGAGATGTCACAGGCAGAAACATGTTTTCCATTTGGGAGTCGTTGTGCTGTTTAAATAGAACATTTGTTGAGGTCATGATACATTACCACCTTGATACATTGCCCTCCAGGGAGGGGAAGCTGCGAGTGTCTAAACTCCTGGTTATAAGCTATAAAGTTATAACCAACAAATAATAATGTGATACAGATTATTAAAGCTACCTCCCTTCCCCTGAACTGCTTCACTTACATTGTCTGTTTGTCAACTCTGAATGAATAGATATCTCTATTATTTTTCAAGTGGGAAAAGGTGCATCTGATCTCGAACAGGGACATTTATCTGTAGAAAAAGGAGGTTTCTTGACCCCCCCAAAATGAAAACAATCTTCATCCTCCTGCCTCCTCCTCCCCCACTGAGTCATTCAGAATGTATTTACTAAGAAGAATAATGGGATATTTTAGATACAGATTAACAAGGGAAGCAAAGCAGTAATTGGGAGGCTCTGGTCTTGGAATGTGATTTACATGGCCAGACTTCAGAGCCATCCCATGCAAGAAAGGGCACATGGCTCTCACAGTTTGTAGTGCAGTGCCTTGGTTAGTTAATACGTAATTGGATATTGACCCACTGTGCTGGCCAGTAGGACGTGTGATAGTCCAGGGAGTGTCTTCTTCCACTGAGGGTTTGACCATGTGCAATTGAGATTGTAGGCAGTAATGGCTCACTGATGGTAGAAGATACAAACATGGCATTAACTCAGGACTTGAGAGACTTGCCAGGTAACTGCTATCTGGATTATAAGAGCTGAATCTATTGTATAAGGGATGTTCTCTTAATTTGATAATGAGTTAAATATTTTCATTTGCACTGATGGGTACAGTTGACAAGTACCAAATCTTCATCTGTTTATCTCCTGTGGCCTGTTCCACCGAGGGACTTCTCATTTCTCAGTAAATGTTCTCCCCTCCAGAGTGAGGTCAAAGAAGCTCAGAGTAGCCTCACGTTAACTAAGGGAGTATCTCTGAAGCCTGTGTTGCTTTGCAGAAGGCTACTGCATGGGTCAAAATGTGATAGATGCAGTGAGGTTGCAGTCCTTTCTAGTGGTTTTGATTATTAGTTTAAGTTATTTTTCAGACATAGGGTTTTTTTGAGTTTAATGACATAAATCTCATCAAATTTACAAGGTACTCATTAGAAAGATGGTAGCTTTAAAGGTGGTCTACTCCCACAAATGACATGGCTTTGTTCCTACTAGTTTATGACTGCCTAATCTGCTGAAGCAAAGGAAAGAACAGGGTTACTACCTAGTTGTGCCAGCTATAGGGGAAAGCAGTGGGGGGTGCAATGGTTTGGATCTCGGTTTGGGTTGATATATCAGTTGCTTGCGTGCTTGTGGTTCTAGTTGTGCTGTAATAAAACTTGGTCAGGTCACTTAGAGGCGTAGTTGGATATGGAGCTACAGGGACTTTTATTACACTTAATTTGGTATTTTATTTCTTTTGCTTTTTCTGGGGGAAAAGATGTATTTAAGTGTCTGTTTCCTACTTGTTTCATGTGAACATGACACCATCTCTGCTTCTCGCAGTCCCTGTTGCTGTCTGTTTCCAAGAGGAAACCTCAGATCTTGACAGTGCTTGCCTTCGTGATGTGCTGCACCCCATTTCAGGCTACACTTTCAGTATTCATGTTTCTCACATGTCCTAGTTCCTTTATTTATTTCTCTGTGTTATCATTTAAGATGCATGAAAACAAAAATGCTCTGGTCTTCCTTGAGGATGTTTATGAGAAACTAAGGTCATTACAACCTGAAACTGCTCTCCTGCCCAAGTGACTAAAGCTAACCTTTACTCATCCAAATACAGATTGTGGTACCATGTTATATTTCAGATATTGATAAAACAAATTAAAGTGTAACTGCATCCTTGAAAAAGGAAGCCAGTATCTCAAATACAGCATATGGTTAGTTGTGACTTGCTTGGATTTTTAACTGGAATAAATAAGCCTTACATTCAGGTAATCTAAGTTTAATATTACTTTTGATTGTGTTGATGGCTTCTGTGCTGCCTGTAGTTTTGCAGTTGCTTCTAAAATGTCAGTCCTCCTGTAAATTGTGATGGAGAAGCAAAGGCTCACCTGGGAAGAAGTGGGAAAATGAAGATATTGAAGTGCTGCATAGATGTCAGCATTGGTGCTGATGGCTGACAGTAGCAGAGCTTCCTCTGTTCATTCGTTAGTGGCACTCTGACCACACGCCTTCACAAACCTCGATGAATAAAATGGTTTGGTTTATAAATTCATTTTCATGTGTAAATCATGAAAGAAAATGAATTCTTAAGCCAAACTTGACTTGAAAGGCCTTTCACTCCAGGTTGTCATGGAATTAATTGAATATGACCTAACAAGTTTGGTTTTAAAAAGTTAGGTTTTGAGTCCACAGAATATTTGTGTTAAGTATCGGGGCGCTAAACTAATTCCACAACTTTAGTTCTGTCTGAACAGTCAAACATGATGTGTTTTTAGGTGAGAAGGGAGCTCTGATTTTTGCAGTCATTTCCAGCAAGTCAGAATTCAAATAACACTGCAGTACAGGAAAGAGCTGGCTTTGCATTGAGGTTTTTAATGTTTAATACTGATACCTGTCTGAACGTATCTAGATTACTCTGCTGATGAAAATGTGTAAAACCTTCAAGGGGTAGTCAAATGTTATCTGTGTCTAATTCACGGCTCCTGTGGTGACATTTCATAGCTTCTGAATAGAGACAAGGAAAAATACCTGAGACAGAAGCTGTATTGGGGTTGAGAGTAGGCTACCAAAGGTCTTATTTCAATGGGTGAATTAAGTGAACCTGAAATCTGTGAATTCTCCTGGCAGCAGAGAAACAGTGAGGTCTTGATTATATTTTTAATATTGCAGAATTCAGTATTTTTGTGTGTCTGTGTGAGAATGCAGCATGTGTGCATGCTTATCCTATCTTAGTTATTTCCTAGCACTTGGCACATTTATATTCATTCTCATCTTCTGGATGGAAGACCCTGGGAGGAGGTGGTGGAAAATTGAATAGAGGAAATTTTTTTTAACCCATACTTGCTACTGTGTAGCACACATTCAGAGCACATTATAAACATATTCTTTGCACTCCCAAAGGGATACAGATCTTTTCTCTATTAAAATCTGATTTACAGCACAGAAATCAGATAATGCTTTATCTGATTTGACTCACCTGGCTGCTTACTGGTAACAGTCCTCATGTCTAATAAATAAGTAATGAAAAATCCAATAACGCCAGAATTACCCGGCATTCTTCATTAGGGCCTAAGTGGTGCTTTCATGGAAAGTAAATAAGAATAAAGGTAGAAATCAGTTGCAGTGCTCATGGAGGAAGAGGTTGGAAGATAATTGTAGGTTTTCCCCAAGAAATTATTCCTTTTCTAAGAAATTACTGGAGAAAATATTCTTGCCAACTAATTTACTCTTCATCCCTATGGCCCTTTGAGATGCTGTTTGTCATACCTGTGCTGAAAATACCATTGTGTTTGTATAAACTGTGTGGGTATGTGATTGTGCTTTCCAGGTAATTTTCATGCAAATTTGCTTCTTTAGGCAGGGAGTTAAATTGCTGAAAAATGCTACCATTCAAAAGAGTGCCACTGTCATCACTTCAAAAGGCAATAGCAATAACAATGGGAGCAAGACCTTTCTCTAGCAACAGATCATCCACTGACTACTAGCTTCACAGGTAGATAAACAGGATTCAGAATCCTTTCGATGCTGTTTACATTGTTAGAATTGAAATGTTTGCGCTGTGCTTTTTTCACTGCTTTGCTTCATTGGGGTTTTGTTGACATGTTATGAATGGAACAAAAAAGATTACAAAACCAGTAGGGTTTTATGTCTTAGGAGAATTCAGAGTCTAAAAGATGAAAAGAGTAATTCTTTAAAATAAAAGTCAGAGGTAAGGGACTGTTCTGGGAAAGGCTGTAAATGGAGATGGGCAGCTGTCTATGTGCTAGTGAAGCTGTTTAGATAAGCACTCTAACCTGTTTCATAACTGAAATAACTTACATGGCCCATTTTGCTGCCCAAGTTTATTCTGACCAAAGCAAACTGAGCAGCACTTCCAGGAGTAGTTCTGTTTTCGGGGCTTCACAGCTGGATTCCTCTTTCCTCTGCTTTCTCTCCTTCCCTCCCTTCTCTTGTTCTTCACTGGTACAAGACGCCCAGTCCATCAGCTGGGATCAGTCTTCAGAGCTTCAGTGATGTATTTTTTTCCTTATCCATTACAGCTTTATGACCCTGGGTAGAGCAGGATGACAGAAATGATGCTGCTGCTCCCAAAGTGATAGGTCGCTTTAACTTTTAGTGATCTATTTGCCCGTAGGAGTGTTTGCTGCCTGCCTTCCAGGGTCACATAATGTATTACAAGGTGAGGCCTGCTGAAATACTTTTCCAATAAAGCATATGTTCTGATGGTGGCAGCCTGGCATCCCACTGGTTTACTGCGAATCAGCAAAAGCAACAGTGAGGGCATTGCTTAGCATTGCATTAAATGATTTTGAACCAGAAAGACCATTTGGCATACATTAAAGGACTGTTGAACACAGAGCTCAGTTGTGCTCGGCCCCTAAACCTGTATTTGTATTTCTTCCTGAACAGCAGCTTCAAAACTCAGTCAGCCGATTCTCAAATCTCATGCAGAGATTTGAAATGGGGATTTGAGGTCACATGTTCAGTCAATTTCCATGTATTTCAGTGGATGTTTGGAATTAGTAAGATACTTGCTTCCTGCTCTCTAAAGCAAGGTAGCAGGGTCCTGGCATTCAGTTTGGAAAGGCTGCTTTAAGGTGATAAACAGAAATGCTCTTCCAGGTAGCACTGTTGGGGCAGCATTACTGCTGTAGGACTCTACTTACAGAAAGATTCATGTGAGTACCTTAGTTCTGAGCTAGCTCAAACCACTTCCAGGGGTAAGTTTAGCCCAGCTGGATGGCTGTCTTTAATGGGACATGGGGAGTGTATATATGATCCTTTCATACAGCAATAATAGGCAGTAATTACCAAGAAGGGGTAGAATAAAAACATCTCAGAGACTTCCCCAGCACAGCTGTGCACAGAGCAGGTGGCTCTCCAGAACCTAAGTGATACCATCCTGAAGTAAACTGGAGACACTTCCTTGTGTCTAGCTACATTGCCATGGAACATTGCAACTACGTTGCACAAGTCCATGGGTCCTGATGAGATCCACCCGCGGGTCCTGAAGGAGCTGGCAAATGAAGCTGCTAAGCCGCTGGCCATCATATTTGAGAAATCGTGGCAGTCAGGTGAAGTTCCCGATGACTGGAAAAAGGGAAATATAACCCCCATTTTCAAGAAGGGGAAAATGGATGACCCGGGGAATTACAGACCAGTCAGTCTCACCTCTGTGCCTGGCAAAATCTTGGAGCAGATTCTCCTGGAAGGCATGCTAAGGCACATGAAAGTCAACAAGGTGCTTGGTGACAGCCAGCAGGGCTTCACTAAGGGGAAATCCTGCCTGACCAACTTGGTGGCCTTCTATGATGGGGCTACAGAACTGATGGACAGGGTAGAGCAGTTGATGTCATCTACCTGGACTTGTGCAAAGCATTCGACACTGTCCCACACGACATCCTTGTCTCTAAATTGGAGAGACATCAATTTGATGGATGGACCACTCGGTGGATAAAGAACTGGCTGGATGGCCGCACACAGAGAGTTGTGGTCAATGGCTCAGTGTCCAGCTGGAGACCAGTAACGAGTGGCGTCCCTCAGGGATTGGTGTTGGGACCGGTCTTGTTTAACATCTTTGTCGCTGACATGGACAGTGGGATTGAGTGCGCCCTCAGCAAGTTTGCCGATGACACCAAGCTGTGTGGTTCAGTTGATACCCTGGAGGGAAGGAATGCCATCCAGAGGGACCTTGACACGCTTGTGAGGTGGGCTGATGCCAGCCTCATGAGGTTTAACCATGCCAAGTGCAAGGTCCTGCACCTCGGTCGGAACAATCCCAGGCACAGCTACAGGTTGGGCAGAGAAGAGATTCAGAGCAGCCCTGCGGAGAAGGGGGGTGCTGGGTGATGAGAAAATGAACATGAGCCGGCTTCAGTGTGTGCTTGCAGCCCAGAAAGCCAACCGTATCCTGGGCTGCATCAAAAGGAGTGTGACCAGCAGGTCAAAGGAGGTGATCCTGCCCCTCTACTCTGCTCTTGTGAGACCTCACCTGGAGTATTGTGTGCAGTTCTGGTGTCCTCAACATAAAAAGGACATGGAACTGTTGGAACAAGTCCAGAGGAGGCCACGAGGATGGTCAGGGGACTAGAGCACCTCCTGTATGAAGACAGGCTGAGAAAGTTGGGGCTGTTCAGCCTGGAGAAGAGAAGGCTGCGTGGAGACCTCATAGCAGCCTTCCAGTATCTGAAGGGGGCCTATAGGGATGCTGGAGAGGGACTCTTCATTAGAGACTGTAGTGATAAGACAAGGGGTAACGGGTTAAAACTTAAACAGGGGAAGTTTAGGTTGGATATAAGGAGGAAATTCTTTCCTGTGAGGGTGGTGAGGCACTGGAATGGGTTGCCCAGGGAGTTTGTGAATGCTCCATCCCTGGCAGTGTTCAAGACCAGGTTGGACAAGGCCTTGGGTGATAAGATTTAGCATAAGGTGTCCCTGCCCACAGCAGGGGGGTTGGAACTGGATGATCTTAAGGTCCTTTCCAACCCTAACGATTTTATGATTCTAACTATGGAAACTGATTTATTTATTACTGTGGAGCTGAGAGGATTGTCAAGAGAGCAAAATGCTGTTCTTCCCTGCATCCCTTACATTTCTTCAGACCCTGCTTTTCCTAATGGAAATGTAACCTGAAGGGCATGAGGAAATAGGTTGCTCTGCCTCAGCCAGCTTTGGTGCAGATAATCCTCATCTCTCTGGCAGTAGGTTGGTAAGAATACCAAAGTTACTCAGAAATCAGAAGCACCCTGCTAACTACTGAAGGATATGAGTTGTATAGATGAAGCACCTTGCTGGGGAAGAGAGAGGTCTGCAGAGAGCCAGCGAGGTATCCATTTGGATTGGCAGGGTCCAAAGTTACTCTGTGGATTTCAGTGCTGTCTCTGAATTCTCACTGATGAATGTGGGGGGCAGAACTTGACCAAGAAAGAGACCTTTGAGTTTATACTGAAGACATTTAACCCTAAAGGCATTCTCATCAGTCAGCCTGCCCATATGGATACTGGGAAATCATCTAATTTAGACAGTGGCAGAGGCAAAGCTGAAACATAATGGTGTGCTTGAAAAACTGACCATAGTACATGTGCTAGTTTGTCATATCTTTATATACTTTAAATATACTTTGTTTTCGTATTTAAATGCCTAGAATCAGCCATAATAAATGTAAATGTCACCCTGCTGAGAGATTTCCCAAAACAAGAAACCTCTCTGAAGCATGTGGTGAGTTATTGCCAGCTCCAGTGTCTGCAGGACCACAAAAGGGCATAGACCAGTGGGAGGACAAATCCAGTCTGGCTCAAATCTTCCAGAGTTAATGAATGACATGGTTGTGGTGACTGAGTTAATGAACGGGTGTGCTGTTTAGATGTGGGGGGAGCTATTCAAGTAGGTGGGTGCTACTGTTAAGAATTAACTGCGCCTTCCCAATTTGTTTACGGACCTTTTAGTTCTCTTTATCTTTTAGTACATACTGGAGTATATGCAATTGATCTCTTCTCCCCAAAAACATGGCACTGAGGGAAATGATTTCCTCTGCAGCAATCGATTCCTGTACCTTAATGGTAAACAGTGGTGGCTATTACCTCTACATTGTCTCAATTCTTCAATTTGCTCTCCCTTTGTATAAACACTTTGCAGGTGTATCTGCTCTCTCCCAGTTTTTGTTTGTGGATAAAAGGTGGTTTTCCTTGCTGTTACATGAAGTTCCTGAGAGGACAAAAGTCTGGTGGATGTGGTCACTGACTTCTGTTACATGCTTCTGAAAAGTTATGTTTATGGCATCCTGATGTGTAATTAATAAGCTGTTAACAGGTGGCTGTTGTGGGTGTTCTCTGGAGTTACTCATTTTAGATGTACGTACCAGTTAGACCTCTAAGCAAACCTGTTGTTTTCACGTGCGTTGGAAAGTACAAGGTACCTAAATAGATGAATACATGTCTTGCTATAGAAGCAGCTGCAGCTTCTTTTGGGCAGTAAAGATGCCCAAAAACATGGGGCATGGGGGAGTCAGGGCAACAGCAGGAAGGGGGATAAACAAAAGAGAGATACTGTAGCAAAACTGGGATGTGAGTAGATCCTCTTTGGGGTTAGAAACATGTTCTGGAGCTGTGGTTGAAGTTGCAGATGTGTACAACGTCAGCCTCCCACTGCAGAAACTGAGCTACATGGGAGGAATAAGGTAAAGTACTGCTGGAAAATGGGATTTTCTTGTGGTTCAGGCAGTTGGCTATCTGGAGTTTTTACTTTATGCAGGTACTTCAGCTACTTGCTAGTTAGCCATTCATTTCTCTTGGCTCTCGAGGTGAATTCTCAGCACCCTGGCATTTCTGAGAGGTCTGCCTTGGTGCTGTAAAGCACAAGGACACTCCAAAATGAAATCTGTGGTATTGTCTTTAAGATACCCGCTTTTGATAATGTGTCTGTACCTTTGGTCTGGAACAGTTAAACAGGTGCAATGGCATTATCGATTCTCTTGTAATGAATAACATAGAGAAGCCTGTGAGGAATTTAATATGCATGCTTTCAATACGGTTTTAATCTGTGCAGTAAATAAGGCATAAAGCACTGTGATGAATTGGGGCTCAGAGTATATTAGTTAAGAGAATACTATTTACTGAAATAAATAATAAATACTGTTTGGTTCATGTGACTGTATAATTAAAGGATGGAAAGCTAAAGAACCTGAATTAAAATTGCAGAGGCAAACTTTAATTCTGGCATCACATTGCTCTCGAGTCCATGACTTTGAAGTCATAGTGAAGAGTCATCCTCCATCCATCCAAGTGAATGTGGACCCAAGTGCTGTTAACGGATAGCTGTATTTAGCATGGTACATTGTATTCATGCAAGTCTGGGTCAGTGTGTGTGTCATGGGTTTAAACAAAGCCACAAATCAAGCAGTTGCTCTCTCACTCCCCCCCCCCCCCCCCCCCCCTTTTTTCTCCTCCCCCTGCTCCTGGAGGGATGGGAAGGAGAATCAAAAAGAATGCAACTCCCACGGGTTGAGATAAGAACAGTTTAGTAACTAAGGTATAACACAGATCACTACTGCTACCACCAATGATAATAATGATAAAGGAAATAACTAGGGAAGAGAATACAACACCTCAGCACTAGCCAATAGATAACTCGCCCCCCCCCAGCCTGACCAAGCACCAACTGATACCTCCTCCAACCCTGCCGTCCTCGCCCTTCCAGGTAACTCTCAAGTACATCCTGGGCATGACGTGCTGTGGTATGGAATACCTCTTTGGGCAGTTTGGGTGAGGTGTCCTGTCTCTGCTTCCTCCCAACTTCCCCTCCTCCCTGGCAGAGCATGAGGCTCACAAAGCCCTTGGGCAAACCAAAACATCAGGCCGAAAGTCAAAAACACAGCACTGCACCAGCTACCAAGGAGGAGAAAAATGACTGCTACTGCTGAACCCAGGACAATGTGATAGCCAAGTTCCTGTGGTTAGCTATGTTTTGAAGCTTTTCCTTGTCTTTAATAAGAAACTATTGATAAAACCAATTAAACTTTTCAAACAAGTCCAGCTGTTTTTAGTATATATTAAGTGGGTGGTGATGCATGTCATAAACCAGATAGTAAATGCAAATAAATGGGGGTGGAATGGATGTCAAGGGATCTTACAACCCATGTGGCTTCCTATGGCATCACTTCTGAAAAACCTAAAAAAAATTCCCTCTTTTATAAGCTTTCATCACTGGGGTCTTCTTCATAACAGCTTCTTCAGAAAGTCTGCTCCAGTTTTTTCCCCTTCTGTATTCTGCAGATACAGCACGTGATAAATACATTTTCCTGCTGTTAAGCATTAGAACACAGTGTTTATAAACTAATTGCCAATAAGAAATTTCAGAATTGTACATTTAGGTTTCCCAAGCGTGGGGCATAACTCTAATCTACACAGGCACCAGCAGTACCACTGTATCACCACTGATTGGCATGCCACTTAATGGTGCTGTTTATAAGACAATTTTCTAATCAGCTGCATGAACACTCATCAGGAGCTTGTTTCTTGATTCAAAGCAAAGGAGTTGGAGAGAAAGATAGTTTGTTTTGCTTATAAAACAAACTGGGGAAGAAAGCACCACAGAGAAATACCAGGGTTTTTTTTCCCTTTTATGAAGCATTGATACAGTAAAAAACAAAGGCAAAACAAAATTGTAGAGAGCTTTGATATCACGAATCTGGATTATGCACTTAAATGCTCAGTGTAGAGTTTAACGCTGTGGTGTGAATGAGTCAGTATTTCTCAGGCTGTTTTCTTCGTGTATTTTGAAGCTGGATGATGATGGCTGAAACAGTAACATTCTGGGGTTTAACAGGTGTTATATTTCCAATCATCATTTAACAGTAATGCTATGATTTGCCATTGTAGATAGTCTGTTGGGTCTAGTAAGTTGAAGCTGAAGCACAGTCAGTTTTCCGTTTATTTCACATGTCAGATTATAGTTTTCATCCAACTAAAATCAGCCAACCCTCTCTCTGCTCAAAGAATAATTAATTTTTCCTTGCCTTCTTCTACCTATTTCATTTTTTATTGCTCTGTAATAGACAGAATAGCTTTAATTTAGAAAAATGTTATCTAAACCGCATGTAAACTGGGTCAAGTGTGGCCAGCATGGAAACAATTCATTATATGATTTAAGAGGTTTTAACAACTTGACCTGCACAATTTTTCAGTAGCTTTGGTATACACAAATAAAGTGCCTCTTCCAAATTTAGCTCCAAGTAAGCACTGTAGACCCCTTGTAAACGCACCTTGCCATCTTGTAGTGTGTATATCCAATGTATGTTGAGGAATTCATGCCCTATAGAAAACATTAGAGCTTAATACCAAGCTTGTGGAATTAACAGGAGAATTGAACGTTGACTTTGGTATCAGTATGTTAATGTGGAGGTGCCTCTGTCCCTTTCTTCACTGAACTAGGGGTAACTTAAGCCCCTGATTCATGAGAAGATTTAGGCATCCAAGTATTTTCATACATATGACTAGTTCTGTGGCATATAAAGGGATTATTCAGTAAGTAAAGTTAAACATGTGCAGAAATAGTTACTACAATCAAATGCTGCACTGGGAGATATAACCTTAAAAAATGCCCAAAATGGCTTTTCTGTATGTAAAATGAGGTGGCAGTGACTTTAATCTCAGTCTCTGGGGTTAGCTGTCAGTGCTGGTTCCTATTCAAATATCTCTTTGCACTCCCCAATGCTCCCTTTCCAGCTCTTAACATTTTTTATGTATTGCTGGCTGGCTGTAGTAATTTACATGAATTCCTCCTAATTTTACTATGGAATGTCTAGGTAAGGTATGAAGACATGGTAAGACAAATGACTCTCAAGTATTTCTTGCATCTGGCTGCTTTACCTGCAGTTCAACAGATGTAGTTTCCTACTAATTCAGCTGTCAGGTTCATGCATCAAGTAGATTTCTCATATGAGAATTCTGGAAAAAAGGGTTCTGGATCCCTACCAGAATTCTAAAACAATCATAAAGTTTTCATTAAAATAGCCAAAAACCTTAGAATATGGTACATGTCTGCATAGTTGTAAGAGAAAAACCACTCTGGATAGGGTGAATCGACCACAGTGAATTTGAATTATTTTACATTGTTTTTTTATGATGCTAAACATTTGCCACACTTTTGTGGCTTTGTCTGCCATACATAAAGCAATGTTTTCAATCCACATTAAAACTGTATATGCAGCCAGTGCAAGGCACTCACTAGGGAACAGGGAAAATTCTCTGTATCATGTTATGGGCTGGAATGTATAAAATGCTAACATCGACATAAATCTTAGTTGTGCTAGAATGATGAAGTATTGCTCCTTCCTTATTTTAAAGTATGAAGGGCTACTGTGTTTACCTTCTAACATTCCAACAACCTGCAAACTGTTGTTGGGCAAGTGCAAATCAACAATACTGGCAATACTCTGAAGGGCAGTTTTCTGCTGTGAGCTTATGTAGAGACATACATTACTCATTTGCAATATCTGGGAGCGAGGTTGGTTGGCTCTTCAGAGCTTCAGCATGCCATTTGCTCTTTGCTGCTGCCTTTTCTTACCCTGTGTGTTGGTGCTGGCGTAGTTCTGAAACAGACCTGGACCATTTAATAGTTGTCATGGGTTTCTGGGAGCTCTTCAGCTGTTAGTTAATTTTACATCCCAAATATCTCAAGCAAACATTGTCATCAGTGAATCTTTAGATTAACTTGTGTTCCTTTCAATGCCTCCACAGTTACTTTAGTGTCTCAGCTGAAATCACCTCCGAAGAACTTTACTCATTGTTGTGAAATTCACTTTTTCCAGTTTGT